TTTGGGTCTCTTTTTCTTGCCAGTAGCATGCTGTTGTGTTTTGTTTAAATCACAGTAGCTTTGTAGTATAATTTCAAGTCAGGGATTATAATGCCCCTTGCCTTGCCTTTGTTTCCTAGAATTGTTTTTGCTGTTCTAGATCTCTTCTGGTTCCAAATGAATTTTAGCATTGTTTTCTCTAATTCTGTGAGATGTCATATTGGTATTTTGATTGCAGTTGCATTAAATTTGTGTAACGATTTTAGAAGTATTGGCATTTTCACTATCTTGGGTCTTCTTACCCATGAACGAGAGGTATCTTTCCGTTTTCTGATAGCTTCTTTGATCTCCTTTTTCAGAGTATTGTAGTTTTCACTATAAAGCTCTTTTACTTCTTTCATTGGATTAATTTTGAGATATTTCATTTTGGGGGAGCTATTGTTGTGAAAGGTGTTGTTTTTCTAATTTCTTTTTCAGTGAGTTTGTTATTTGTGTATGGGAGTGCTATTGATTTTTAAGTGCAAATATTGCATTCCACTATGCTATAGAATTTCGTCATTAAATCTAGAAGTCTTTTGGTGGAGTTTTTGGGGTCTTTGATGTAAAATATTATGTCATCCACAAATAATGATAATCTATCTTCTTCCTTTCCTATCCTTATTTCTCTTATTTCTTTCTCTTGTCTAAGTAATCTAGCTAATGTTTCCAGAACCATATTGAATAAGAGTGGTGGTAGAGGATGGCAACCTTGCCTTGTACCTCATTTTAGAGTTAAAGCTTTTAGGTTTTGTCCATTTAGTATGATGTTGGCTATTGGCTTGTCCTATATGGCTTTTATTAGGTTGAGATAAAGACTATCTATTTCAATTCTATAGTTTCTTTTAAAAATTATGACTGGGTGTTAGACTTTGTCAAAAGCTTTTATGCTTTTATTGAGATGATCATATGGTTTTTGTCCTTGGCTCTGTTAATATAGTGTATTACATTTATTGATTTGCATGTAAGGAACCGTCTCTGCCTCCCTGGGATGAATACTACTTGGCCATGGTGTATAATTTTCTTGATGATTTGCTGCATTTTGTTTGTCAGGACTTTATTGAGAATGTTTTCATTGAGGAGGTTGCCTTGGAGTTCTCTTATTTTAGGTTGGATCTCTCTTTGGTTTTGTTATGAGGGCAATATTTACTCTCACAAATGAATTTGGAAGTACTGCTTCCCTTTCAATTTCACTAAAGAGCTTGAGAAATAGGAGCATTAGGTCTTCTCTGAATTTCTGGTAGCAAGTAGCAGTGAATCTGTTGGACCTTGGGCTTTTCTTTGTGGGTTTTTAATTATATCTTGAATTTCATTGATTGATATTGGCTTATTTATTTATTAGTACTGAGAATTGAACTCAGGACCTTGTGCTTACTGGGTAGGTACTATGCTATTGAGTTATATCTCCAGAACCTATTTTTTCTTTTTGAGACAGGGTCTTGCTGTGCAGTTCAGGCTGGCTTTGAGCTCATTTTGTAGCCCTGGCTGGTCCTAAACTCACAACAATCCTCCTGCCTCAGCTTCCTGAGTGCTGAGATTACAAACATACACCACCATACCCAGCATATACTGATTTACTTAGAATCTTTACATCTTTTTGATTCAGCTTTGGTAATTCATATGTATTTAGGAATCTGTGCATTTCTTCTGTGTTTTCTATCATATTAGAATGTAGGTTCTCAAAGTAGGTATTGATGATCTGCTGGATTTCTGCAGGACCTGTTGTGATTTCATCCTTTTCCTAAGTGTGTGGGTTTGAGTCTTTTCTTTCCTTTATAAAATAAGCTTAACTAAGGGTTTGTCAATTTTGTTTAATTTTTCAAAGAACCAACTCTTCATTGATTCTTTATATATTTTTTTCTTAGTCTCAATTGCTTTAATTTCTGTTCTGATCTTTATAATTTTCTCTCTTTTATAAGTTTTGGGTTTGACTGAAGTTCAACATTAGATTATTTATTTGAGCTTGCTTAATGTTTCGGCTATGGGAGTTCAGTGCTACAATTTTCCCTTATAGGACTCTTTCATTGCGTTCCGTAAGCATGGTATGTTGTATTGGTGCTGTCGTTTAATTGTAGAAAATGTCTAATTTCCTCTGCAACCCGTTGGCTGTTCAGGAGAGTGTTGCGCAATTTCTGTATGCAACATCCAAGTGCCTCCTGTCTGCTTGATCTCGGCTCCCTGCAGGCTTGACCTTGTCTCCCTAACCTACTGCGACTTGAACTATAATGTATAGTAATTAAAATGAGGTCTTGGGCTGGGATGTAGCTCAGTGGCAGAGACTGTGCTTGGCATGTGCAGGGTTCTCAGTTCAACGATGCTATGGTTTTAGGAGAAAACAAAAAAAAAAAAAAGTTTTTATTGGGTGTAGTGGCACGCACCTTTAATCCCAGTGCTTGGGAGGCTGAAAATAGGAGAATCATATGAGTTTGAGCTAAGTTCTGCCCTAAAAATTAAAAAAAAAAAATTTAAAAAAATGTTTCTAAGAAAAACGTTTTAAGAAATAATTATTTGGGAAAACACTGAATGTACTATACAAAGCAGGAAAAAGATATAAACCTATATATTCAATGCAGTTGCATTTTTATAATAATAAATATATGAAGAAAAAGATTTGGAAGGCATCCTATTAAAATATGAGCATATGTATGATGAACAGTTCTTTTTTTGTTTTGTTTTTGGTTCTCGGAATCAAACTCATGACCTTGCGCTTGCCCAGTAGGCACTGTGCCATTGAACTATATACCCAGCCCATGAACATTTCTTAGTGTCTTTTATTTTCCTCTTTCTACTTGTTTTCTACTAATAAATCTGTAGTACTCTTATAATCAAGAAGTAAATCAAATTGGTACATTTTTGGGAAGAGTTTTCCACAGGAAAGTAATACGCCACAGTTGAACAGATGACCACATTTTTCATTTCATTTTCAATTGCTGTGGGAAAATTTTCAGGGTTGGAGAGTCTTTCTTTTCATTGAAAACAATCGTGAAGTTTTAAGTTGCATAGGGCGCAGAAAGCTGCCTGCTGACCTCCTCCGCTCTTGTGTGTGAAGGCCCCTGACAGCGAGTCCAGCACGCAGGAATGCTCCAGATGAAAGGACTAGAAACAAAACAGAAGAAAGATGCCACAGATTTTCAGCCAGAATCTCAAGGTCAGAAAGGGACCTGAGGAACCTTCTGGCTCTGTCCTTAGACTGGTTAAGAATGTCTGCCTAAGGGCTGGGGATATAGCTCGGTCATACAAGTGCCTGCCTGGCAAGCACAAAATCCTGAGATCAATTCCCAGTACTGAAAGAAAAAGGAATCCTTTCCTAGAAGAAAGTGGTAGGTCATAGAGTTCAGGACAGAGGCCCTCAACCATTCCTGTGTCACCCCAGATTGTCACTTTGCTTCTGCTTAAATGCCTTCAATGTCTTGGTTTTCTATGATGTTAGGGTGGCTGGTTTCTCTGCGGTAGCTGTAAGTCATAGAGAAGTTAGCGAGTTGCTGGCATCCAGCAGGCAAGGGCACTTTAAGGTGAGGTTAATGGACAGGTCGAGAGGAGGGTCTTTCCAGCTCCACAGCTCTGTGACTCTGGGCTCCCTTGGATTTTTCAGTCAGAGTTTACAGCCAACATCTCTTTCTGTTGGCACAACAATGCTTGCGGTCAGATTAACTTTTTGTTTAGCAAACAGAGATGTGTGTTCCCAAAGGGTAACTTTAAGCTAAGGTTTTGGGGCAGCACAGGACGTGGCTGTGAGCCACACTCAGCCAGATTTTCTTTCCAGCTTTGTCTCTGTGAAACTGAAAGAGAACACATATCCAGTCAAGGATTGGTGGCCCCGCCTTCCCAGCATCCAACTTCTCTCCCATGGGACCTTCTGGCTCCTTCTGGTCTTCTGTAAGTGTCTGTCACTCTCTGCCGCTGTCTCCCTCATCCTCTCTTGTTCAGGTTGTCCATAGTCTCCATGGGAACACAACCAAATCTGTATTAGGCATGTTAGACTTCAGTTTCCACATGGCCACTTCCTGTGTGACCTTGAAGAAGTCAGTGACCTTTCAAGGATGTGACCCAAGCAATAGGGAGGGTTTCTCTAGGGAGGTGACCCAGCAGGAAGATCCTGGAGAGTGCTGTCTTTGTCCATTGTAGGAAGACGTTTTCTGGTGTCCTCAGAATTCACTGGAGCTGATTAGTGATCTCACAAGGGTCTTGCCATGTATTTCTGTGAGAACTCTCCAGAATACTGCATGGATAAAGCCAGACTCTTAGAGTCATGAGTTTTGTGTTCTGTTTCCCATTAGCTGTAAGACCTTAGTAAAGTACTTTACCTCCTTAGGCTTCTCTTTTTTGTCTCTGAGGGGGAGAATTCTGAGTCTTTTTCCAGTGGTACAATTCTATGATTCTGCACTCCATGTGGGAATCAAGTAGGAAAAAAAAAAAAGAAAGAAAGAAAAGAAATAAACAGTTCAATTTAATTTTGTAAAGTGAGAGTGAAATGGAAATGGTGAAAAGGAACTAGCATGGTTTAGAGTGACTATTACTACAGAAAAGGCACATCAATAACTAGGGAGATGCTTTTTTAAAATAATGTATTTCGGGGGCTGGTGAGATGGCTCAGTGGTCTAAAGCACCTACTTAGAACAAGCTTAGCAAAGCACAGGGACCGCAGTTCAATCCCCCAGCACCACAT